TTTGCACACCTTTTTGGAAGCAGTGGAGAAAAGGCAGCTTTTCTGGAAAAGTAGACCATGGAGTTCACTTTTTTGCTGCTTTCCCCACTTTTTATGAAGTAAATTCCATGGTAAATTTGTACACATTTGTTCTATCAGTTTCATTTAAAAATGTAAAAAACTAGAGGTACATCAAAATTTGGAGAGGAGTAAGTTACACACAAATAAGCTTTGACAAATGCAGTCATGTGGTTCTGAATATACTGTCTTATTTCTTCCTGTTTGATCTTATCTTTATTATACAAGGCTTGATTATGTAAACTGCATGGAATTTTACAGAAAATGTTTTCTCTAGAAATGCTAGATATAGAAAAAATGTTGCAGAAATGTCAAAGGCTTAAAGTTAAACATTCCAAAAAAGCAAACTTAATTTAGAGATTAGTCTGTCATTTAGTCATTGACTTATTCCTTGGTAGACCAGGGTAACATTTCATCCGTACATTCTTGAATACCAAAAGCTGAGGACAAGGTTGAATTCCTTAGCTTTGGCAATGTCAAAATAGTCCCGTGGCACTATTTACTTAACATTGATGCATTTGTCTCCTTTGTTGAAATGGTAATATAAAACATTTTAATAACAATTGGAAACATGCATTTATGTTGTGCACATGTGTGCTGACATCACATTGTAGCTGAGTATAAGATGTCAGTGTGGATTATATTTGCTAAACCAGCCACATGATGGTTTTATGATCTAATGGTGAAAGCTGTCTTAAAAAACTTTAGACAGATTTACTGTCTAAAAATGTCAGCTTTTTGGAAAACAAAGAGAGATAACCTCTCCTTTTGCAGGTTGGAAAAGTTTATTGCTGAAAAGTTAATCCTGTTGTCATTTAAGTAAACACTGGAGCAGGACATGCATTAACATTTTAATGGCTCCATCACACCTGAGAGTCATTGAGAGGCAAGGGTAAAAAGGAGTATGGATCAGTTTGAACCTACAAAGTTGCCAGGAATTCAGATAAATCTTGAACTTCCTTTAAAGTTCAATTTTTTTTTCAAAAAGATTGTAATAGTCATGACTTAAAACCTGTAATAGATTCTAACAGTCATGATTTCAAACAGATTTTTTATTTTTAAAATGCCAAATTATTAAGCTATAGGCCATAAGTCTCCCAATAGAAATAAGTTTTATCTTTAACTTCCATATAACACAACTATTTGCTTCAGTTCTGTTGAAAATTAAAAGTACTTATAATTGTTCCTAGTATTTCTTTTGCATAAGCTCTATAATAAGAGACCAGACTTAGACAAATTCTTGATTTTGAGAATCCTGAAGCAATAAAAACTTCCTTATTTTTGGAAACATGCCATGGGGAGAAATTAGAATTAACAAATCTAAAGATCTAACTTAGGACAATTATGTTATAATTTGCCATTAGGATTAAAGCTTGGTTTTAATGAGAATGCTGTGCATGTTGTGTGGGTGAACTGTTTTCAACCGATTAGCAGGTTGAGGCAAGCAATGCTAATACTGCTGACAGTTTGTGCTGTTAAAGAAGGGCTGTGCTTCCTATTGCATGCATTAAACTGACACTATACTTTCTTTCCTTTCCTTTTTTCCTGTGCCATGCTTGCTGTATAGCAAATGGAATCTCTTGCAGTAAGTTGAAGTTCTTTCATACTTTGTCCATCTGTAGATGGACTAATACACCCTGTTTTTACTGTTACTGTTTTATCTTAGCATGTTTTTCCTTTTCTTTTCAATTATTTTTCCTTAGCAAATTTGATTCAATGTGTCTTTACTAAAATAAGTGACTAAGTTGCATTTTATGTCACTTTTCTCTTCAAAGAGAAATGTAAAGGTGCAGTTACAAAATTCTGGCATTGTCATGGATTCATAGAAAAACAGGGCTGGAAGGTACCTCAGGTCATCTAGTCCAATGCCAGGCTCAAGGCAGAATCAAACCTGTCTAAACTCATCCAAGTGTACCATTCTGAAGATGAATCAATCTTGTTAAATAAACAAGACTCAAACTGACTTTAAAACCAATACTGGAGTTCTGAAATAGTGATTATTTTAAACCTAGTGCTGTTAACATAAGTATATAAATATAATTTTAAACTAGTCTTTAAAATATTTATATTTTGTTAATTTGAACCATTTTACCATCTTGTTAGTCTAAAAGCTACTCAGGAGTAAAACAAAGTTAGCTGCTTGATAAGACAACCAACTGCAGAATAACTTAAAATTAAATTTAGTTCAACTTAGTTTTTTACAGTTTTCTTAATTTAATCTAGTAGCCAGCAGGGGAGAAGTTGAAGGATAAGTATATACCATATTGCCAACCTGAGAGCTTCAAAAGTCATATGTTAAACTAGTGGAGGCCAACCTTTTTGGCAGGCATGCCACAAAGTTAGCTCTGCACCGTCCCCAAGTGCCACTTTAATCTGCATACCCTGCCCAATATGTTGTTTTTCTTTCTGCTCCCTGCCCTGTGTGCTCCCTGTCCTATTTGCTCCTGTTTTCTCTGCTGCATTTCCAATCAGCCACGTGCAATATACAAAGGCTGCCTATGCCACTTGTAGCATGCAAGCCACAGGTTGCTCACCCCTGAGTTAGACCATAAAACATCCTGTAAAATGTAAAAATGTTTTTTAAAAGTGTTTTGTAGTTTTTGGCCTATCTTTTGATTTTTGAAGAGCTCCCTGACCATTCCATGTGTGTTTGTGTGGGACAATTAGTTTTACCCACTCCTAAATTTGAGAAAAATTTCAATCAGTGCTTCAGGGTCCTTTGACCACAGATTAATTCTGCACCTATTCCCAGATCAATTCTGTCAGCAGTTCTGCCTACATATTAGTTTTGTCCCACAGCCTCAGCTCTGCTTTCTTCAGTCACACTCCAGGCTGCTGGCACTGCATTTATGACCCAGATACCTTGTACCGAGCGGACCCAAACCCTCAGACCAACCACGACCGCTCCATTCGATAATAGGTGAATTTTATTGATATACCCTGATAGCAGATAAGAATAATGCAAACAATTCTATATCTACCAGTCCTAGAGCTTCAGAGTCAAGGTACGTCTGGCCAGTATGCAAGCTTCACTCTGAGGTTCTTTCTTGAATGTTAGCAGCCCGGGGGTCGGATGCTAAGGCCCACTCTCTCCTGGTGGGGTGGGTGAGACGGGCTGGTGGTATACCTTCTGTCCATGATGTCCTCAGGTTCCCCTCTCAAGGGCCCTTTGCTGCTCTGAAATCCTTCCATTCGTATTCCTTTTCCTTCAGTGATGACTTTTCATCTACGGGCATCACTGACTGGCCTTCCTGTGGTCCTCATACTGTCCACGTTCTGTCCTGTCAGCACATTCCTTTGTTTCACAAACCCATCATATGCACACATCCTAATTTGGGCTTTTTCTGGGCCTCCTAATTTGGTCCATCTACAAAAGCTGGAAATCCCAAGGCTCTGCAGTTGCGCATTGTAACCTGGTGCCACCTTATGTTATGGAACACTGTGGTACGTGTCTTTAATTTCCCAGCCTATGTGCTGCTTGCCTGTCTGACGCAGTGGGCCTTGAGGAAACTTTGTCACAAAATAGGGGTTTTTTAGGACTCAATTAACCCTTGCCGTTGCCCTGGACCATTGTTCTAATGCAATATCTATTTTACCTATAAGCCACTTTCCAAAAGCAAACCTCTAAATGCCATTTTCTAGCCATCACAGGCCTGAAATAAGGGCCAGATGTATCAGGGTCCTGTTCTCTACTTTGCTGAGGAGGAAAAAAATGGGACAAAGCGGACTGACCTATAGCTGACAGGTCAGGAAAAGGAAACAGAGCTGGGTATATATATATCTACACTGCAGTGTAGACATTTATGCTATTCGCCACAACCCCAAAATAGGCATTTCTGTTTCTATGAGATTCATAATCTGAATCTCCTGTCTAGATTTAATCACTGACAGGCATGATTTTACTGAATCCCAGAGAGGAGGAAGACAGGCTAACCACCTTCTGCTGTGGGTGTGCGAAGAGTAGCAGTGTATGTAGGGGTGTGCAAAGTGGGCCCTATTCAATTCGGATTTGGATTCAGCCCGAATCAGGGACAGTGATTCGATTTGTTGATTCGGATCACTGTCCCCAATTCGATTTGGCTGAATCTGAATCTGAAGATTCGATACTGATTTGAAGAATCAGCGATTCAGACATAGACACAGCTTTAAATGTTTTTTCTACATACCTCTAGGTAGCAGGTGGCTTGTGAACACTATGATGCTGGGGCACACGGAGTGTTTCATAGTTTCATAGTTGGTCGGGTCGGAAGGGACCTGAGCAGATCATCAAGTCCAACCCCCTGCCATGGGCAGGAAAGGATTATGGGGTCAAACAACCCTGGCTAGGTGATTATCAAGCCTCCTTTGAAGACCCCCAGGGTAGAAGCGACAACCACTTCCTTTAGCCACCCTGCTATGAAGTAGTGCTTCCTGATGTCTAGCCTGAACCTATTCTCCATCAGCTAATGGCCGTAATTCCTCATTACTCCCGGTAGTGCTCGGAGGAACAGGGACTCTCCCATAGCCTGCTGGTCCCCCTTGGCCAGTTTGTAGACAGCCACCAGATCCCCTCTCAGCTTTCCCTTGTGGAAACTGAACAGGTTCAGGTCCCGTAGCCTCCACTTGTAGGCCCTGCCTTGCTGCCCCCTGATCATGCGAGTGGCCCTCCTCTGGACCCTCTCCATGTTGTCTACATCCCTCCTGAAGTGCGGTGCCCAGAACTGGA